CATTTATAGTCCATGAGAGGTCCTCTGAGATGTAAGTACCCAGAAATTTAAAACTACCAACTCTCTCCACTTCCTCACCGTTTATGTACAGTGGTAAATGTACATTTCTCTTCCTCCTAAAATCAATTATGAGTTCTTTAGTTTTTTTGATGTTAAGTGTGAGATGATTTTCTTTACACCAAAGTATCAACCTTTCTATAAGCAGACTCATTGTTCTTATTTATGAGCCCCACCACTGTCGTATCATCCGCAATTTTAATAATTGCATTGGTGTTATACAGTGAGGTGCAATCATGTGTGTACAGGGAATAGAGGAAGGGACTTAGTACACAGCCCTGGGGAGCTCCTGCACTTAGTACCAGGTAGAAGAATGGTGAGATCCCATCCTTACTGACTGTGGCCTATCTGTCAGAAAATCCTTTATCCACATGCAGATCTCCTGAGGTAATCCCAGGTTGATCATTTTAAAAAACAACCTATTTGGTAGAATGGTATTAAAAGCAGAGCTATAATCCACAAACAACAGCCTCTTTCTACATTTCCTCACTCCACATTTATCTAATACTCTTTCTCCACCTTTTCCTAGCTAGTCACCCTTGCTACTACCAGTGCTGTCCCTGCTTTTTATCCTTATAGTTCAGAGGTTCCCAGCTTTGGGTAGCCTGTGTGTTCTTGGACTGCAACTTCCAGAAACTCTGGCCAGCACAGCTGGTGGTGAAGTTTTCTGGAAACTGCAGTCCAAGACCACCCGGGTTATCCAAGGTTGGGAACCACTGCTATAGTTCATATTTCTTTCTGCCCCTTTCTGTGTCCCCTGTTCTTCCCTCAACACAATTTGAATTTTTTTCTTTAAAAAACACACTTCGGTTGCAATAATACCGGTTCATTCTTCTAGAAAACCACACAGTGACAGTGACAAAGATGGGCTGTGCTTCATGTTTTGCTGTTTACAACATGTTAGAAAAACAACTGATGCCAAGTCTTCTTCATGCCTATTAATCCAAAGAGAACAATAACAGTGGAGACTTAGTGAGTGCCATTTTGTACTCTTCACTTTTGATAGGCTTTAACCAGGCCAAGAGAGTGTGGCGTTTTCTCATTCTGATAGTTGTGACAAATCCCGGTCTATGTTAAAAGGATGGATTATGCATAACCCATACTCTTAACATGGAGGGGAATGTTGCCCTTTTGTGTCAGCGTTGGCATGTTGTGAGAGTTTCTGCTCAACCCAGGGCTTCTGGTTGTATGGAAGCTAGTTTTTATTTATTTATTTATTTTATTTATATCCCACCTATCTGGTCGTGTCAGGACCACTCCAGGCGGCTAACAACATTAAAAGATAATACAAAAAAATATACGTATAAAGACAATTTTACATACCAGAAATACTGAACAGAATGGGAAAGCTGAAGGAGGGGGGGGGGAAAGGCGTCAGGAATTACCTGATGGGAAGGCCTGTCTAAACATCCATGTTTTTAATTGATTCTTAAAAATACCCAGCGAGGGAGCCACGTGAATCTCAGGAGGTAGGTTGTTTCAGACGCGAGGAGCCACCGCCGAGAAGGCCCGAGTAGTTACACTACAAGGTTCTTATAGTGCATGTATACTATTAGAAGCGATTTGATACTCTTATAGATAGTGGTAAAGAGTACTGGGAAAAAGTGGGCAATTGGAATTTCTCCAGAGAGTTCCAAGTGGCTCATAGATCTAAAGTGACATAATCTTCTTTTTTTAAAAAAAAGAAAAAGAAAAAAGAAAAGTGTGCTGCTTATATAGCACTTCAAGCACTCTCTGGGCGGTTTACTAGTTAATTATGCAGGCTACACATTCTCTTTCCCCCAGCGAGCTGGGTACTCATTTTACTGACCTGGGAAGGATAGAAGGCTGAATCAACCTTGACTTGGCTACCTGGGATTGAACCCCAGGTCGTGAGCACAGTTTTGGCTGTAGTACAGCAGTTTAAGCACTGCACCATGAGGCTCTTTCCAGATTAGGAAATCTTGTTTTATTTAATTCTTGCAGATACAAATGAAAAAATTACAAAAAATGTCCTCTGGGGGTGAGATATGCATTCTGATACTTTTGTTCTGAAAAGTTTGAGCAAGTGTATTTTGCAGAGGATGCCTTGTGTTTTGTGCAAAATACAATGTTTTATGCACAAATACCCTTTTAATTAATGCTGTTGCTGACAAAAAATCTGATACTTTTGCTGTCACATAGGAGCAAAAAATATTGCAGTGGTTGTCAGTTTCTTCTGTAAAGTGTATTGATGTTTTGAGACATTTATGTTTTGTTGAGAATGAGAAAACGTGTGAGTATTAATTATGCACATGGACTGGTGGCTAATACACTTGTTACAATGGAAATGGAAGAAGTGACAGGCTATATTTATTAACATTTGTAAAATGTGTGTAAGTAGCCTGCTCTTCTGTTAGGTAAAGGTAAAGGTTCCCCTTGACATTTTTCGTCCAGTCGCGTCCGACTCTAGGGGGCAGTGCTCATCCCGTTTCCAAGCCGTAGAGCCAGCGCTTGTCTGAAGACAGTTTCTGTTGTCACGTGACCAGCATGACTAGGGAACGCCGTTTTACCTTCCCACCGAGGTGGTACCTATTTATCTACTCACATTTGTTCTGTTACATGGGCTTAAAAGGGGGGCATCTGTAAATTTATTACTGTCTAAGAAATAGCAAGATGGTAAAAATAAAGTTTTTCCATATGCTGTCCCTCAACAGGAAGGGAATAGGGAGTATCTAAATAAGCTCCACTGTTCTGTATTACTGTGAGATTCAATGGTTCAATGAGATGAGCTGCTCCAGGCACTCTGCTGATCCAGAGAGAGTTTTCAAGACATCCTGGTTGTCCCAGGTCAAAACATGTGCTATAGTCTTGCTGGATACTGACACATATAAAATCAGCAGAAGCTTTAACACCCAAAGCAAGAATTGTAATATTCTTGTTAATTAAATCCATATATTAGAAGATTGTAGCTTCCTTTGGTAAAGCCATTTCAAAATCCCCTATGCTTACAGGAAAAAACCCATAAGGAACAAAGGCCACCAAGTAATTTAAGAAAAAAAAATTCCTAGCAAATTTGCATGAGAGCTGACTTCTTGTATCAGGTTTTATTGAACTTGTTAGTTGTGTGCCATCTAGTCAGAACTGATTTATAGCGACCCTAATAGGGCTTTCAGGGCAACTGAGATATTTAATGAATTATGCTTTAGGTATCTGGCTGCAGAGCCATAGGCTAGGAGTTTGATTCCCCACTGTACCTCCTGGGAGAAAAGCCAGCTTATGTAGCCATAGGCAAGCTGCACTGTACTTCTGCACCCCCAGAAGAAGGGAATGGTAAATCATTTCTGAGTATTTTCTACTTAGAAACCCATGGAAAGGGTTATCAAATGTCAGAATTGACTTGACAACAAACAATTATTATTTACCAGTTCTGCTCCCCCACTCAATTCCCATGGCCAAGTGGGGATTTGAACCCTAGTCTTCAGAGTCCTAGTCCATCATTCTACCCACTACACCACACTGGGTACTTAATGTACCTTAGAGGCAGGTTTTTTAAATTATTATTTTTATTTTTTAATTTTATTTTGCCATTTGCTTCTTTCTGTCTTTTTAGGACACTAGTAGGTGTTTTAATAATATTCTAGAAAACTAATTTCTGTTCCTACTTTTTTCTAGTGCTGATTTTAATACTGTTTTCTAAATATTGTTCATAACAATATAGATTGCATACATTACAGTGAAAAAAGTGAAGTTGAATAAAATGTTATCTCCAGACCATCTGGAAATTGCTAACCTAAATAACAAACGTTAGAATCAGATTGTCAGTTCATGTAAACAGCTGGAAGCTTTCTTTTAGATAGGCTTTGGCTGGCAATTTGCTTTGTTTTAATTCTAATCTTATTTTAATTGGACTGTTGTACATGTTTGCATTTGCAAGGAATGGGAAAGGGATTTAAATGAAATGATTGTTACCTTGGAAGATGAAGCCTATTTGAGATGTACATCAAGGTTAAATCCTGTTTTGTTTGTGCTGCAGTGTTGTTTGACATGGCAGATCACCTGCTAGCCTTGCCCAGTGTGGGCTAAATGCTGTATGTCCCTTCATTTGGGATTTGCAAAGCTGAAGCACAAAGAGTGATTGTTACCAAATAAGCAGTAGTCGCACACTTCTACCAATAGCCTTAGGAGGGTTGGTTACCATGGAATCCACCATCTGTTCCCTCCCCACTGGAATGTGATTATCCTTGCTGTGTTGGGAACTGGGAAAAGCTGGGGAGTGTGTGCTGCCTACAATTATCTGCAATGGAGTGTGTTAATGGAAGGCTTGGATTAGCTTGCTGGAAGAGCATGTAAAGGGCTTTTTCACTTAAAAAACTGCAAAACCAAAAGCACAAGCAATTTCTGAACAATAAAAGGTGAGGTGGTGTTTCTTGTTTTTTGTTTTGTTTCATTGATAGCAATGTGGCTTATGATATTGATATTTTATCAGCGTGCTTTTATTGTCAGCCATTCTTCCTAGAGATGCTGATCAGCAAGACAGGGTGTGAGTGTGTTTCTTTACAAGAGAGCAATAATATGGGGAGGGAGCAAGAGTCTTTTGTCTTGCTTTGAGCAGATTAATTTGATACCTTTTTGAAGAGAAGAACATCTTGACAAACCCTACCTGAATTAGCATTTAAAAACCTTTTGCATAACATACATTACTGTGCCTTTCTGCAATAGTGTTTTGAGGGATGTCTGCAGATCTGCATATTGGGTTTTGTGGAGAAATTACAGCACCAAGATTCACATTTAAAGCTTTATCTATTTAAAGTAATTGTTAATTTATAAAGTGCCAGTAGTACAATAAATATGTGGTTAATGTAAAATGATTTGTGTAGGAAATACAAATGATGCAAAAATATGTAATAACTGAACGCGAGGCTCTTTTTTTTAAAAAAATATCCAAGCCTTTGCCCATTATATATTATTGTGTACTGACTTTTTAAACAAGTTTTCATGGTATGTATGTGCACAAGTGGAAAAAATGTGGCATTGCTTTCTTGGCAAAATTTGTTAAAGAGTCACATAAGAAAATGTCATTTGTAATGCTTCTTGTATAATGATGCATGTTGTAGCAATGTGGGTTATTATAGAATTGTGTGTCATACATTTTAAATGCTTGCTTTGACATTTTTATGTACAAATAAAGTAAATTTGAACAAGGGAATTTATTATGCTTACAGTACTATGCCAAAAATACTTATTTAAGATCAGCACTGCTTTTACACTGGGTTCCCCTATTTGCATTGTCTTTCATCACCCATAGCTCCTATGTTGCATTGAATTTGTTAGGGCTACCATTTTTATTCTGTATTGTGGGAATGGGAATAAGTTTAGGTGTCTTTTAATTGAATTATGCCAGTCTCCTCTAATCCTACCAGTCTAGTGTCTGTTGATGCTGTTTATATATTAGTAGTTCAGAAGAAATGGGGGAAATAGTTCATGAATCACCAGCATGGAAAACACAAGTGTCAAATATACATCATCATATATTTTTTAAAGAAAAATAAAGCTATTAGCATTTTTTAAAAGTTCATAATGGCAATAAGTCCTGCTCTAGTATCAAACTGACATGAAATGAGCCCTACTTATATAGAGAGTGCCCTCTTCCATAGCCTTCCTCTCAATCTGCATGTTTGATCAAGGGTGACTTTTTTTCAGTGGAACTATTGAATAAGCAAATCTGAATGGAGAACCTTTCTCAGTGGCTGATTCTTATCTGTGGGCCTCCCTCTGCAGTGGAGTCTTAACACAAATGCTTTGTGGAAGCATGTAAATGTTTCATTCACCTTTTCCACATCTGATTATGTGATGCTGCTTAAATCCATACATCAGCTTTCTGTATGCTCATGGTCTTGTATTCCTGATCATATATTTTGCTATACAATGTTTGTAATCTTTATCCATTTCCAATGTCAAATGGTCTCTTGCTGTCTCAAAAAGTGCTATGTTCTGTCAGGGCCCTCGCTGCCCTATATGCTTGGAACCTCCTCTACCAACTTCCTCTCCAAACATCTGTGTGGTGTCCCTTCTTTTACTTCAGTCAAATCCCTTCTTCATAATCAATGTTTTCCCTTAGGGCTTCTACATAATCCCCTTATTCTCCTGCTGTGTTGCAATTCAGCCTATATACTAAATTTGTTGTTTCTGAGCTTCTCTTGCTTCATTTTGCTTCCCCTTTCTCTTTTTCTCTTGTTTTGAAATCAAAGTGGTAAGGCCTTTAGGACAAGAACCTGTCCTTTTGTATTCTGTAACATGTCAGGCAGTCTGGTACAATAAATAATAATAACTTTAAAATATCATAAAGGCTATATTCATTTCATTTAGAATGTCTAAGATTATGATAATGTCTGTCATTTTATAGAATATAAAAGGACAAGTTTTTGTCCTGAGATATTTGGCATACTTGCAGATAGCACTTTTTGTTACAGCCTGTTACAGTTTGCCTTGTCACCACAAACGAGCGATTACAAAATTTCCCTCTAAGCCTGGGGAAGCAATAACGTTCTTGATATGATAGTTTTTGTGCTGATCGTGTGATATACAAAGTATATTTTAAGCAATTTGCACAAATAGCTGTTGCACAGACGTTTAAAATTAGAGATGGCATCGTTGCATGTTTTTTAACTATTGGCCAGTCCTTGTGTACATGCTTTACTTGTCAAAAGGGAAGGATACTACTTCCTCCCTGACTTCTGCAGAGACATTTTGTGCAAGTTGTAGAAACCCCGATATGGCAAAAAAGTGTTCTTTGTTTCACTCTCGCTCTGGTGTGAGGAATACAGTGGGACTTGGAGATTCTGTCAAGTCAACACAGCCGAAATTGAGGAGAATGAGGAACTCAGTGAAAATTCTTCACATCTCTAGATGTAGAGCTCATGGAGAGAAGCTACAGAAGTGGACAGGCTTTTGTGATACTATTGTTGGCATTGTCTACTACAGTTCAAAGAAGAAGTAAAACCTATAGCCGCCTCTGGCATTCCCTCACATTGCAATGATAGTGAAATCTTGAACTAAATGCTGAGGACAGGGAAGTATTCATCTATTTCAGCCTTCCAAAACCTAGTGCCCTCAGATTATATTGGAATATAATTCCTATCATTGTCATGCAAGATTAACATGCTGTCTATATATGTAAAGTGCCAATTTAGCTTGAAATCCTTAATGGGTCAAACGGAGCCTGCATTTGAGGCTGGAATATTTGTGACATAGGTGATCTGTGAACAAGAGAACTGCTGGATAGCATAGTGGTTTAAGTCTCTGGCTGTGGACTCAGAGGTTGGAAGTTCAATTCCCCACTGTGCCTCCTTGACAGGGACTGGACTCAATGATACACAGGGTCTCTTCCAGCTCTGCAATTTAAGATGATGATGATCTTCTGCTAGGTTAAAATAAGCAATAGTGGCCAAACCTGATTGTGGTACTGGGAGAGAGGCTAATGTTTCCATCTAACCTGCTATTTTCCTTATGAACATTATTTGCTATGGAAGGACTATTGCATGATATATGTGGGGTTTGCCACAAGAGAAGACTTGGAACATTAACCCATTTTCCCAACACCCACATTACAAGTCTTACCCACATTCACCCGGAGAGCTGGTATTAATTTTTCAAACTGTGGGAACTCCTATTTACATATCTCCTATGTTGCAGCTAGTTTGTCTCTTAAAGAGCTCTGCTGATTCAGACCAACAGTTCTTCTAATACAACATCCTCTCTTGGGTGAGAGACAGTTCTTCATTTGAATTATTCAGCTTGCTGGTTGCCATTTCTACTGCCAATAGCACAGGAAATTCAAAACTACCTTTTATGTGTATAATTATTAAAGTCTTTGTGTTCAAACTCATGTTTCCTTCCAAAAAGATTAGACTTTTGCTTAATGTTCACGTGTAAGAACATAAGAAGAGCCCTGCTGGATCAGGCCAAGAGCCCATCTAATCCAATTTCCTGTATCTCACAGTGACCCCACCATGTACCTCTGGGAGCACATGAGACAACTAGATACCTGTCTCCTGATACCCCTCCCCTGCATCTGGCATTTGGAGGTACCTTCCTTTTAAGCCTGGAGATTATAGACCCCCAACATGGCTTGTAACCTGTGATGGACTTTTCCTCCAGAAATTTGTCCAATTCCCTTTTAAAGCCATCTAGGCCAGATGCCATCACCCCATCCTGTGGCAAGGAGTTCCAAAGACTAACAACAGGCTGGGTAAATAAATATCTTCTTTTGTCTGTTCTCACTCTCCAAACACTCAATTTGAGTGGATGTCCCCTTGTTCTGGTATTGTGTGAGAGGGAAAAAAGCTTCCCTCTATCCACTTTATCCATCCCCTGCATAATTTTATACGGTCTCAATCATGTCCTCCCTCAGGCACCTTTTCATTATTGTTGTCTTCATTATTGTTGTATCTGTAGTTTTAAAAGAGGTAGCTGTGTTAGTCTGTGCATCAATATCAGGCAAAGCTAAACGAAAATTGAAAAATAAGAAAAGACAAAAACTTTGTGCACTTTAACAACTAACTGTTAAATATCATTGGGGGCTTTCATGCACATCTTCAGTAAAATACAGAGTAAGTAACATTTTTATGCCAGTATTGAGAGTCAGTAGTGTATGGTTGCATTGGTGTTCATTTCTTTTGAAGTCTGATTTTGTAAACATTTCCACAAGACACAGAAAACAGAAAATAAGGCATCTGTTTTGTGATGATCTGTGTTTAAATTTTCAGATTTCATGTATGATTGATACCTGCTTGGCTGGATTAAGGCTTTTATGTTTTCATGGAGATCAGCCTCTCTTGAAACACAGGGAACTTTACATAGTGGTAGTGGTGATTTGTATCATCGTGGCAGCCTCTTCTCAAGGTGCTGTGGCTACACAGATTGCAGTGATTGTAATATAGCCCACATTGGTAAGTTTTTGACAGTTTTATCTGTATACAGGCAAGATTTTGTCCCTAAGATTCTTGTGAGCACCACCACTGAAAATGACTCAAGGATAAACCCTATATCTCCACTCATGATAATCCAGCCTGTTTAGTTCATAGTGCATACTGCATTCTGAAATGTTGTTGTTGAAAAGTTTATGTTTAATTTACTGGATTTTGTCCTAATGATCCTGATCTAAGTGGCAATGTCTATGGTGCCATAGAAATCCCAGTGAGCGATTGTTTATTGTTTACTTATATACTCCACAGACCACATGCTCTGGGAGGTTCTCTTTTAGAATTGCCGGAGGAAAAGAAGAAATTGTATTAACATTGTATCTAGGCTACAAAAGATGTCAAAATGAATCTTGGTTTACTTTCTGTACAGGATATGATTGTCATTTCATCAGACATGTAATGTAAAACATACAGCAGATGCACAGTGTTATATTTCTGTTCTCTTAGTGTGGAAGGAGTAGATAGTTGAAAACAATGTCTGGCATCACGTAATTGAGTTTGACTCAATGTATAGGAGTCTAACTGAATGGAAAATAAACTGACCCAATTGTTTCTCACAAACAGACAAGTCTTTCTGTTTTTCCCTTTGACACATTATGCTGGAATGCTTTTGGTCATGACATTCAGTTTGTTGTTCTGCAGAGATTAATTTTTTGTTACATTTTCAAGGTTTTTTTTAGCATTAAACATATTGTTAAAAGCCTTGTTCAAGAGAGCTTCTCTGCCTCAAGGCTAGATCTGGTAGTCAATTTGAAAAGACATGGTTCCTTTTTCAGACTGTGCCTTTAATATTGAAGTAGTGATGAAATGCTAACAATATTGTACATGGGAGGGCAAGCCAGTGGACATGGCTTTCTTTAGTGCTTGATAATGTGCAGAACATTAGTGTCTAAAATGATCTGTGATTTTTTAAAAAGAAGAGGAAAATACTGTTGTCTGATATTTTTCTATCTTTCCATTTTCCTCCTGAATCAGAAAATGACTTCTAAGCTTTTAGGAATCGGTGTTCAGTTCTCTCAGTGGCAGCTTTCTCTTTCAATAAATGCAAGACGGGGCATCCAAAATGGGACGTCAAATTTCTGCTGCCCTGTCCCTGAAGCCTTTTGTGCTGTATCATCTACTGTGCCAGAGTATATAAGTGCCACGTCCCATGATACTCAGGAACAGTTTTTAGGCATGATGGATTTGCAACAGGTAGACATATTTGACAAAAATCACATGTGTTACCTTCCATGAATGAAAATGCTGCTCCTTGTATTTATATGGGCAGTCCATGGATCTTTGAAGCCATCCTGCCGCAGGTTTCCTCAGTCTGTCACAGCCATTCTCAAGGGGGGAGCATATAGCCCCCTGAGAGGCCATATCCACATTTGAAAGGGGTCATAGACTCTTCACACACCACCCTATAAGGTTCGTTATACGATTTGTACTATACAATCCTGATTCAGCCTATATTTCTTTTAGATTGTGTTTATGGTTGTGATTAAAAGGAAAGGCTGATAATGGTTGATTTATCCTGTTGTATTTCTCTTATTGATATTCACTCCCATTGATGTTCACTGATGTTGAGAACTGGCAGGTTGAAGGGAGAGTAGATTTTTTTTTTAAATTAGCAACACATGGGAATGATCCTTCCTCTGCACCATAGTCTTCATTGCGATTGCATTCCAGCCAGCCTAACTAATGCTTATTTGTCAAGTTGGGAAGAATATGATTTAAATGGGGAAGGTGGTATTTAGACTGATGGAATTTATGTTGAGATAAAAACCTACTTACTCTCAAATTGTTGTTTATTTTCATTTAAGTTGTGCTTCCTAACAAGCGGTTGTCAATGCTGATGTAGCCTAGGATATCTTTGTGTCAGAGATGAAGTCTAAAATTCCCCGTCCCTGCATGATGGGAAGGATGGGAAAGGTTTGTGGAGGAGACAGTATCAGTGTGAGCCTCCATATCGTGTTACAGCCTCTAAATACATGATACCACCAAGTTGGTTGTGCCCTGATTTGCTTGTGCATTAAATTTAGTATTTCTTTCTTGTTTTTTTTATTTTGTTGAAAGCATAGTGGTCATTTAAAGTCATGTAATTTATAAGCTGTTTTGTGTTTCTGCACTTTTCGGATAGCGGAAATTACATGGGTCGTATAAGACTATCCATGAAGATAGTATGATCTCCAAAGTCTCATTCTTATGCAGTATTGCAGCATATAGACTTAAGTTCTTAATGCTCATAAGGAGATATTCTTGTTTGCTGATCCAAAGACAAACAGGAATCCCAGTCTATATTCAGGAGCAACTGTTTACAAAATAAGATTAGCATAGTTTTAACCCTTTTTCAGTTTTTCAGGAAACCTAGATATCAAGATAATATAAAATAAGAGATGTAATTATATGAATTTGACAGTGGTCTGCTCCTTTAAAAGAAACATTGTTATAATCAGGATTTTGAATACTATGAGAAAGGGGATATTGTAATACTATATACACTTGAGTCTGCTTGCCAGTCTAGACTTTGGAGAATTGCTTTGCTGTTGAACAAATGTGTCCTCATGTCCAGTTTTAGAAATTACTGTATATTTCTATTCAGAGAGAATTGGAAAGCCTGTGTATAATAGGAAGGATGTTTTTAAAAACCTTATAAAAATATATGTACTAATCCTATATGTTGCTCCAATTAAAGAATTAAATATAAATATGAATAAGGTGTAGCAAAATACCTTCCCCCATTAGAGACCTTTTAGTATTATGAATGCCATTTCCTATGATACATTTGTGAATCTGTTGCAGCAAAGTGATATTTTACTTGCTTACTCTGAGTCTTGCAAAGCTAGTTGTTTCAGTTACACTAAGCTGCTAATCATGGTTTTATTTACTTGATATTTGTGCATTGAGAGGATGAAGACAGTAACAGCTGTTGTTTGCTTAGTGTCTGCATGTTCTTTTAAATGGAAATTTGTAGTAGTCACAATGCACTAAAATTAACGAGTTACTTTTTTTCTTGGTTTTTTAAAAGCAATAACTGTGCCCACACATCTTTTTTTCCAGATTTTAGTGGGGCATGCTCTTAAAAACCTTTGTCAACAGCAATTTGTATTGCAGATAGTGCTGGTGGAATATTTAGAAAATAGATTTGTCTTCTCACTATAATGACAGTAGTGTGGGAGTGGCTGATAAGGACCCAGGATGCATATCTCTGAGCAATGTTGAAATTGACGTGCAGCATAATATAAATTACATAAATAATCTGCACTACCATTTTCTTGGAGCTTTCCCTCATTTTCTGGGACTGCTGGATTACCGGCAGTCTTCTATTGTGTGTTTGCTTACCATACTTTTCAAAAACAATTCTTTGTTTACAGTTTTTTTTTTCTACTGTTACCTGAGTCTTAGGGCTAGAACTTTGATGGTTGGATCACTTAGCTCAGCCGGTTGTAAACTTCTGAAGCTTGTGCGCAGATCAAAGCTCACAACTTAGACGATAATAGACAGTAAACCTTTCAGGAAGGTTCTGTTTCCTGGGCGCGAGCAAACAGGGAGCTTATGGGAAAGTTGATTGGCAAGCCTAGGAACACTAGTTAGCAAGGACTAGCAGGTGGTGCCCTGTTGATAGACTATAAATCCCATCAGTCTTAGCCAGAATAGTCAGTGGTGACAAATTGTAGGAGTTCCAGTCCAATACGTTTGGGTGAGCTTCATGTTACTCACTTGTGATCTAAAGGTTCTGACACATGGGTGCTGACACATTTGTTCTGCTGACCTGTATAAAATGTGCTATGTTCATTTTCATGCCAATAGATAGCACAGACTTTCATCTACAGCAAATAAGATCTGGTATGTATATTGGAAGAGAAGGCAAAGGGGCTTAAGACATACATCACTGTGCTGCAGTTGATTATGGAAGATGAACAGTTTTGAGGATGAGATACAAGATGTTGTCCTGTATCTTGGTTGCTTTCTTGAGGAGAAGGAAGAAAACAAAGGGCAAAAGGCAGACACCAAAGAGAATATGACGCACAGGAAAGGCACCAGGAGGCTCCACTGAATAATAAACTCAATATCCAGCACCCCATCCCACCTCAAAGAATCAACCAGAATTTGAGATGCATGGCAATGGTTACAGACTTTTTGCTGAAAGAAGGACAAGAAGCAGTTTTCTGCCAACCAGACAAATTTTTGAAGGAGTTCAGTAGTTTACCAGGCACATTCGTTCTAACTGTAGTGAAGGGGTTGCTGGGATTTATCAGATCTCTTTTGCTGAACTTGTGTGGCAACAAATGCTAGAGCTAGAAAAAAATTGACTGTGTTTCTAGAAACAATCAGACTTCATGTGGAAAAGTAAAGTAAAGGACTTCTACAGTAAATGACTTCAGAACAGCAGTGGTGGTTTTTCCCCCCAAGATTTTTGCAAAGATCAGAGTAATAGAGAAAGCAGAATCTTTGGTACAAACAGCTGACTGCACAAATGTCATCAGGGAAAGCTTTATATCTTGGACATAGTTTATGCTAGGAGCATGAAAGACACCTCACAAAAATTGAAAAAATGTATTTTGGCAAGAGGCTTACAAGTCTGATCAGCAGGGCTTTAAATGAAAATTTTCCCCAATCATCAATCACATTTCCCAGGCCACTAAGTATTCTGAATTGTCACTTTATTGTTTGAGGGTGGTTCTTTGTCTGACCTATCTCCACCCCATCATTTGAATATTTTCATTATCTTTCTTCAGACCTTAGGGGTACCCCATGCTTAGTAATAGCTCTCTTCTGTGCGTGGACAGTGATAAGGACTCAGATTTTAATTAGTATTACTGTGTAGAATAACCTGTGTGTGAGGGTTTGATGGTAGGGTCTTGTTTTGCAATAATTTCAGGCAACACAGGTTACAGTGAAAACTGTGGAACATTTATTTGTGCTTCAAGCAATAAACAAGTGTCCTGAACTGGTAATCGTGCTTTGTCTCCTTCGTCCAATGG